CCGCGCTCCATCGGGCCGTGCCGACGAGACCTGCTCCACCGCGCTCGAGCCCGACGGGTGCCTGCGTCCGTGGCTAGGGTTCCGACGTGACCTCACCGGAGTCGGAGACGGGTAAGTCTAGCGCCCTCCCTCTCCACCTCTCCCCCTCTTTCTTCTCCAAATCCGGCGGGTATAGAAGGGGCCGGTCAAGGGAGGCAGGCAGGACAAGCGGCGGGGACGGTGGTCGGGCGGCTTCGGGGCCCTAGCTGCAGTGGAGGCGGCCGGGCCAGGTCGGGGCGAGGGCGTCGCTGCCGTTCGCCGAAGTCGGAGAAGAAAGCAGCAGCGGGAGGGAGAAGGGGAAGAGTGAGGCCACCGCGGGCGTGGTAGGGTCTCGTCGGAGCTCCGCGACCGCAGCGGCGGAGCTCCGCGACCGCAGCGGCGGAGCTCCGGTGAGACCCTACCGCGCCACGGCAGGGCGGTGGGCGGCAACGGGGGCGATTGTTGCAGCCTCAAGCGCTGAAAGAAGCGAACTGTTGGAGGAGAAAGATGAATGGTGACTGCCTGAGATCCGCTGGATATTCATCATACGGTGGAAAATCGTCGCATGAAAGGAAGCTGATTTTTAGGCGCCTGAAGATTAGCAGCTCCCAATTTCTAGTGTTATAGATTTTTGTAAACCCGTTTGGATCCTTCGAATTTTGAGAATCCGGATACAAAAAATCTCACAATCATAAATTCTTATCCAAACAGGCTATATTTTATAGGGATTTTATCTCCCAGATTTTTAGAATCTCAAAATCAAAGAAAACTGTTGGGATTTTTATATCCAGATTCTCAAAATCAAACGACACCTTAATCGTCTACTAGTATTATAGATTAGTATAACTTTTGACTTTTGAGAGTTTCCAAAATTTTTGGAAGTTTTCCGGTCATTTTGATTTTTGAATCAGAACATCTCGTGTTGAGTATTTGAAGTGTCTAGTGCCGTGTGGGCTCGGCCGCTTGGGAGAGATGACTCTGAACTTGTGATCTAGGGCCTCGGGTTTTGGCTTACAGGGAAGGCTATTTTTTCTTGGCTTGGTTTCTAGGTTAAAACTGTTTCAGGCTTCGTTTTCTATTGTTTTGAATTAACAAACTATTTTTACGTGTGCATAGCAAGATTTTTAAATTAAATTGGTGAAACAGTACTAAAAGCCTTGTCAAAGAGGACTCTTGTGTTTGAACCGAGGTACTTCATCCATTTCAAATTATAAGACGTTTTGGTTTTTCTAGATCCATTGATTTTTTGACATAAGTGTATCTCTAGTTATATAGAAAATCTATGTATCTAGAAATACTAAAACGTCTTATAATTTGGATTAGAAGGAATATTAAATTGCGGTTATGCCGCAATAGCGGTAGCGGTCTCGTACCACGTAGCGGACTATATTTAGCAAGTTGGAACTTAGCTATATTTCTGCATAGCGGGGTCAACAAATAAATAATCCTAGCCCACTTAAGATATGCAGAAGGTTTAAGTGGCCATTAGACTGATGAGGTTGCTATCTTTTTTATAATAATAATGAATGATGGTCTTAATTATGAACTATTTATGACTCACACAATACATTTCTTTATAAACTCTGATATAGCATGGTTTATATGTACTATGTGAAACATCATGTTTTTTTCCTTAATTTAAGTATATGGGACATCAGTTCTTTGAGTATAGTTTAATGTCTATCTATACCCATTATTCACGATATATGCGCTTAAACTTACAAGTAATTATCATATGCCGTTATTGGAATTTAGCGAGTTAGCGTCCGCAATCGCATCTGCTATCCGTGATCCGCTACCTCGACATTAATCCGCTATCAACCCGCTATACGCTGGTTTGATCTAGCAAGGCTACGACCATGGACCTATGGCTTGGGCACTCAACTCAATGACAAACCTGACATCGTGTTAAATTCTGTTTCTAAACAACGTGTTAAACTCTGACCCTATCGATGATTCACACACACGCATGGATGGTTCAATACTAGGAAGTGCTAGCGAATTTGTTATTAGCAACCCCCACCTTTTTCTTGTTATAAAATGTTGGCCTAGCTGGTTGTTACATGACATATTGCCGTCCTCCGAGATGAGAAAGATCCAAAGAGTTCGTGTAACGGAATATGTTCAAAACAATCTTGTTGTATTAGAAAGTCACGTTTCAACATTACAATAGACCAAAAAAAACATATAATTCATTAAGTGGCCGTTCGTTTAGAAAATTATATAGAAATCTGATTAGTTAATGGCCTAAATTTGGTTTCAAAACTTGGGCATGCCAATATTTTGAATGCCACTTGGCCTGTTATTAAAATTTACCAACATATATGTTTATTATGAAATATGCTTTATCTAATGATACTTATCATATCTCATAAATATTTATGATGAAAGTTTGATTTTTTTCCAGAAGCCAGACGTGTGTTTATTTTGTGAGTAGCGAGTAATTTTTTTAGGATTAAATCCACTTTTAACCCCTCAACTATCATGTTGGTCTAATTTTGACCTCCAACTACAAAACCGTCTGATTCAGGCACCGGAACTTTCAAAACCGTTCAGTTTTAGCACCTCGGCGCGATTGAGGCGGTTTACGCTGACGTGTGCCTGGTTTTGACCCGCCACGCTGACATTGACCGCCACGCTACGGCCACCACGCTGGTCAAAACAGAGCCATGGGCGGGCGTGCGACCTCCTCGGCGAAGCACATGTGGGTGAGCAATGCGAGAACACGGCGGACTAGAGGCACTCCACGACAAGCACCACACCCCGCCGTCCTTGCTCCGCGCCCGAGGTCGAAACCGGGCCGCCAGAGCCGCCGTCCGGCCGCCAAGCGACGGGCCGAGGACGCCGGAGGTGAGGTTCCGCCAGAAGCGCGCAAGAGCGAGCCGTCGCGCGCGGAGCCGACGGTGCTCGCCGCTTTGTTGAGCACGCTGGAAGGCGCGATGGCGGCGGCGGCCGGTGGCGCGAGCGCCGGCTGATGGGTGGCGCCCGGCCGGACACGAAGACGGCGGGCGCGGGGAGAGGAAGCGCAGCGCGAGAGGACGGGCCGTGCCGGCGTGTGCAGCTCCCGGATGGCCGGCTCGAGGCGGTTGCGTGCACGCGACGCGCCAGAGGAGCGGGCCCACGATCACGTAGTTGTACGGCTTCTTTGCCCGCTCTGATATCGCAATCCTAGGGGCGGTGCGCGGGGAGACGACGACGGCGGCGCGCCAAGATGCGTGGCTTGAGGTGCCTACGGCCGGTGGTGGCGCTGGCCGCGCGGCCTTTTTGAGCGGTCCGGAGCAGATGGCGCCGCCACGCGGCACCCCATGGACACTGGCTCGTCGCGCTCACGCAGGTGTCCTACGTGACGCGCCGCTGCACAGATATTAATTGGATGGAAAATTCGTCAAGCTCAAGCCACCGCCATCCAATTACTCGTACTCACTGGTGCCTTAGGTCCCTATATAGCCCTCGGATGAAACTGCAACTAGAATCATCCACCAGGGCACTCGAACGAAGCGTTGCCGTCACCGCCATCCGCCATGAACACCGAACTGAGCTCGGCCATGGCGTCGGTGCGAAAGAAGCGAAATAAAGCGAAGGAATCGAAATCGTAACGGAAAAGTGATCGGGAAGGTCGAACGTAACGACCGATGATCGGGAAGGGAGAGCGCGGGGATCGGGCGAAATCAGCGTTCAACGGCGTCGTCGTCGTCTTGGTCTTCTCGTCCCACGCTTGCGAATAGAGGGTAAAGAGGAGCGAGCAAGGAGAGCGAGAGCGGAAGCGACGGTAGGAGCTTCGGCTTGGCTGGCGGCGTGGCTCGGCGAGATTCTCGTCCGTCGGCGGCCGCTGCGGCAAGTCAAGGCGCTGGCGAAGCGGCTCCGGCGATGCTTTCGATTCGAGACGGTGGCGGCGGCGGCGAGGTCGAGAAACAGCTCCGGCAGCGTGGCTTCGGGCGAAGCGTGGCGTGAAGTGCTCGGCGGCTTCGAGCTCCGACGGCGGCGAGGATGGGCGAAGCTCATGGCGGCCTGGTGACGACCGCACGAGCTCCGCATGCAACGCACGCATGCGGCGAACCGTAGCGGATCTGGCGAGCCGTCGAGCTAGCCGTGTGGATGCGGGCGAACCGGCGGAAGAAAGCGCGAAGAGTCGGATCTGGCGAGCCCCGGCTCCCAGCCATCCCGTCTTGCGCGAAGCCAGGGCCCAATGACGCGACAACCCGGCAGCAAAGAAGTGCGGCGTGGTTCCAGGTCCGAGCCATCCTTCATGGGTGCCCCTACGGGCGGCACATAGCTTGCCACGGCGCCCATGCTTGCGGCATGTTGGCGCTCCCCTACCCTTGCGCCACGCTTAAGAGGAGCCGAGCTGCGCAGACGGCTCCTTGCTCGACCTCCCACCTCCCTCTCACCTTCCCGCTTCGCCGTTGCCGCGGCCGTCTTGCCCATTGCAGCCGGGGCTCTGCAGCGTGGCCAGCAGAACCACGGACCGCCTCCCGCCGAGCCAGCGACCGCCCCGTACCATGTACCCATCCTTTGCTGCAAGAACACCACCTACCTCGCCAGTCCGCCTCTCCCGCTGCTCGGCTTTCCGGCGTCAGACGGGAGAGTGGAGTCTTCCACATGGGCACCGTTATTAACACTCCAAATTCTGTTTTGACTGCGCATCCGATCCGGTCAATGCCCGGTGCAGGCGAGTTAAAACCAGACATATCGTCGGCTAAACCGCCTCAATCGCGCCGAGGTGCTAAAACTGAACGGTTTTGAAAGTTTCAGTGCTCGGATCAGACGGTTTTATAGTTGTGGGTCAAAATTAGACCAACTTGATAGTTGAGGGGCCAAAAATAGACTTAATTTTTTTTAATGACTCAACCGACCTCAGTACGATCGGCAACACCATAAACGCCGGCGTGAAGCGGCCGCGCGACGTACCGTTTCGATCTCATCATCTCCGTCTCTGTCGACTCTCGAGTCTCCACCCCAGTTCACCCGTTCCCCACTTCCCCATGTCGGACGCGTACAAGAAAGCCAAGCCCGGCCGCCTCGTCTTCAAGGGCGGCGAGGCCGCCTCCATCCACAAGCCAAAGAAGCACAAGAAGAATAAGAAGCCCGCCTCCGATGCCCCCGCCGACGGCGACGTCGAGGCCGCGGCCGCGGCCGCGGCCGCCGAGGGAGCTGAAGGTGGAGGAGGTGCCGCCAGCGGCACCGGCGACGACTACACCATCGACGCGGCGAAGAAGATGAAGTATGAGGAACTCTTCCCAGTGGAGTCGAAGAAGTTCGGGTACGACCCCGCCAACGCCGCCCGCGCCGCCGCCCGGAACCGCACTGTCGAGGAGGCCCTCGACGACCGCGTCCGCAAGAAGGCCGACCGCTACTGCAAGTGAGGTGAGGCGATGGAATATAAGTTAGGGTTTTCGTCCGTCCGAATCAGACAATTGACTCCTTAGATTGCTTTGTCGAGTTGATCTAGGTACCTGTTCAATTGGCTGTTGAGTGATTCGATTTGTGTTGCTTGTTGCTGCCCACTTGTGAATCTGGCCATGCCCTGGTTCTGGTCATGGCCAAATTTTGTCTTGGCGCACTAGTGCTGCAAGCAGACCCTTAGGAATTTTGATGAGCGACAGGTACATGATCGACTGCAGGTCATCTTACTAACTGTTCAAAGTGTTCATCAATGTACATTGCAACCTTATTATTGGTAGAAAATCTGCTCTGTGCGATAGACAATTTAGAAATTCTTACATCACTGGTATGGGAAAAGTTCTTCTCAACCAATGTTTGAGCATGACCTTGAGGGACACTTTGGACTTGAGAATGCTGTTCCTGTTTTTGCAACAACGTGACTCAAGGAATAAGTCATGATGGGGTGGATTAAGTCATATACATGGTATAATATTGGTGAAAATATTTGGTAAGAACAAGAGGAAAATCAATGGCCTTTTAGGTTAGCTGTAGTGATTTTAGCAATGGCCATATGGCTTAATTGTGTTATCTTTGCTGCTAATGGACACAAGAAAGATGTATTGGATCCTATACTGCATAGATTTGGGCAATCTTGGTGATAGCTTCTTGACCAAACAGGTCACATGTTTTTGCTGCATCACAGAGGACCTAGCTGTGTATCAGGAATTCAGAATACAGAGTTGCTAATCTAGTAATCTAACTCTACACGGAGGATGGAAACCTCCCGTATGCTTCTTGAGTTTAATTATTCTAGGTGCTGTATATGGATCATGTTATTGGATTGGTTGTTCAATACTGACACCACATTTGGGTTCTGCTTTAGGGTCAATATATATTCGACTCTTCATTATTTTTACTTCCTCTCTGTGAAATCTATCCTAGTCAACTTTGTGGAGAACAGAAACATAGGGTTCTTTCATTGTATCCTTTAGCTTCAAGTTAAAAAAATTATGGCTACTAACTTCATCATATTGCTTTATTGGCATGCAAAGCATCTTATGTATGAATTATATAATACATAGTAGTTATTTTTCTTACTGTTATGTTTATGCTGAATGTGGCCTGATATCCTTTCTCTTCTTGACAGGTCACACTCATTGCTGTTGTTTGCAGCTGTATTGCTCAGTGTATTGCAGATGGTATCTGTAGAGAATTAAGATTCATGGAGAATTAAGATCCTCCATGGCATGTTGTTTAGTAGTCAAAGTACTGGCTAAGCATTTTCCTTATGCATATTTGTTCTAGTAACTAGTAAGCATAAGGATTCTTGCACCTGTTATTCTGATAAACTTGTTCTGCCCTCATTCTGGGTCAATTAAGAGAATACCACCAGTGTTATATTGCAATATGGCCTGGAAAGTTTTTACTATGTAGTGCTGTGTTTTATGCTAATGGTTAACAACTTAATAGAGACCAGAAGATGAAATTGAGTAGCAACTGTGACTTCTAGTGGTAACTCTGAGTGCTGTTTAACTCTTTGTTTTGGGTTTGTCATGGATATCAACTGCAGAAGAAGCAAGTACCATTCCGATCCATCGAAGGGTTTTTGGAAATGTATGCTTGCGTTGCTTTTAGACATTATTGCATCTTCACATACAAGTCATTGAATTTGTCCAGGTTTGATCTTAGAGGCAACAGGCAAGTTATGGATATGAATCGATTGGGCCTGCAGCAATTGTCTTCTGTGTGAAAAGTGCTTTGGTTTTTGTGTATTTGAACAGTTTGGGAGCAGTATGCATACTTGTTGCTAATCTGATTGCCATACTTGTGGGAGTCTAAACATTACTATCTGGATAATTCTTTCAAGAGTACATTGATACTCGATAAGATTTGGAAGGCAGACGATGGTTTTATTAGTGCTCTCCATTAATTGTAACAGGTTGTCATTTAATAGTTCTGATATATTGGGCAGAATTACAAGTGACAGATCATGTATGACAAAATGTTTTACTTAAATTGAAGACACAAGTTTACGGTTGAGATGAACTTGTTCCTAGTGGTTGACACGGAAGGTGTCAACATAGAGTAAACAACAAAGGCGCATTCGGCTTGCTGGTCACTTAACTGTTATGAGGGCTCTTAATACACTTCACCACTTATTCAGTTATTCGTTTTTTAGATCAAGGTGTAACCCTGCATTTAGAAAGCAAATGATCTATACCTTCACCTCTTTTTCTCCTCAATTAGAATAAATGGTACGCGTGCTCAGGGCTAGATATCCATGCTTTGCCTCTTGTCTCTTTTCTGAAAGTTGACCCCTATGTCCATCTCTTGAAAGTGAAGATTATTGGTAGTTGTGATAGCTTCAAGTAACTGGTTTTGGTTCTTGGACCATATCATCTCTAGGATGTTTTTTTCGGGTCTCTAATAAAGGCCGTACTGAAAACTCTGGTTTCAGATTTGAGTTGACATTTCATCAGGCATCATTTATTTCGTATCAATCCCTCTCACACAGCCTCAGCCGCATCCAGCACAGACAAACTCGCCTAAAGTAAGCAATGGACGTCCAGCACCAGCACAACTGGAGGGGCCTAGTTGTGCGCTCTGCGATGGCAACCGGAGCGCGTCGCTCGCCGAGCTAAGCACGTCTGAGGTGCGGTAGCGCCGCCGTAGTCGTGTGCCATGTGAGCGAGGCCAGCCTGCCCCCGCGCCTCGCCGCGTGGGACAAAAGTTCGAGACGCTCGCGGCCAAGATCATGTATGCCATCGAGAGCCAGGTGCAGGGCTGCGCCTTCACGTTTGGCCTCGTTAAGCCCAACCTCACCGGCAAGTCCGTGCTCGAGTACACGACCGCGTTTGACGGATGAATCTGATGATGAAGCCGTGCCCGACGACATCAACGAAGATCCGTTCATTCCCTTTGGCTACGGCGACGCGTGGGCGTTTAGCCTCTTCTAGAAGACTTTATAGAGGATGAACACTGAAGCTCGGTTTGGGCACCGTCAACACGACGCAGGAGGAGAAAGTGCCAATTACGCCTATACTTTTCACCTACTCGCCGATAACCTGGACAAATTGTCGGGCACCTTGAAGGCCGCCTCTAAGGACTAACCGTCAAGGAGGAACACGATAGAGCTGATGGAAGAAATGGACCTACAATTATAGCTAACTCTTGTGTGTGTGGATATCTCTTAGTGGGCCTAGTGAGGATTCCTTATTGCTTCAATTATAATGTTCTTTATAAATTTCACCATTGTTTCAATAAAGAAAAGTTTTACACTTCCGCTATCATGTCTTGAATAATAATTGTTTCACCCTCCACTTCATGCTTAATGCTTAAACATGTCTTTGTGTAAATGTTTTATTTCTGTCACAACATGTTATGTCTACCTTACCTTGCAATTGTAAACATGTTGCTTAATAAACTGTTATTTTTCTGTTGTTGTATTAAACTTGTTATAATAACTTTGATTTTGTATCTCATGTGATGTAAGAAATAGTGTTGATGTTTAGAATTTTTATTCCCTCGTTTATGGATTCTGGATTAAAAGTGCATCAATTCGAGTTCGCTCTTCGGGTGCGCTCGACAGAGTACCGGATTTGGCTACGTCTCTTGGGCACTTAGTGTCAAATGATTGATAAGTGTGTTCAGGATTAGGTTAAAATGGGCATTCTGTCACATTGTATATTTTGATGAAGCCTCCAATAAAAACTTTGCCTAAATTTTGCGAATTCTGGTAATTTCATTGGTGGCTAAAAAATTGAAAAATGAAATAAACAACTCTGGATACAATCATATATAATAATGTCTTGTAAATGGAACTTTTTCTTGTCCTTATTTAGGTTGATATATACAGCTTGGCTGTTATATTTCTGGAGATTTTCCATCCCTTCCAAACAGATTTTGAAAGATTTTCTATTTTGTGGGGCATAAAGCAAAGTAAATATCTAATAAATTGGGTTGGTAACAACGTCGTCTTCAAGAAACACTGCTCTAAGTTCTGTTGAGCGTGCATCTATAGATTAAACGATATACTGCTAATTCTTAGTTTGAGCTTTATTTTCAGCATCTTGATGTTAATCAAGCTTGATTTATTTGCAATGAACGCGCCATAAATCATATCATTTTTAGTTGCAGCAAAAAGACGAAATTTGACTGCATAACTAGTACCTTTGTGAACTAATGAAAACACAAAAACAGTAACCATTAAGTAATAGTGTTGCAGGTAGCTAGACAGTACAAAAATGAACTAGAAATCTCTTGCACATACTTAAGTACCACTTTTTCTAATTTTTTTCTCGAACACACACACTAATAGCATGCTCTTTCTCTCTGTCACGCTCCTTCTCGCGGGTGGCTGGTTGGGCGGCGCAGCTAGGGCTGGTGGGCAGCATGGGGAGTGGTAGTGGCTAGCGGTGTGCGGCCAAGGAGGCAGTGACGTGTGCGTGGGCGCAGGAAAGAGGGGCAGCCGCACTTGTTGGATCAAGAGAGAGAGAGAGAGAGGTGATTTGTTTAAAGAGCAAGCCTCTATTTCCTTCTTAAGTTGGAATAGTCACAATGCCCCTATATTTATAGTCCCTAGCGTAATTACATACCAAGCAATCTATGAAGAAGTCCTTATAGGTTTGGATTCTCCTTTTCCTAAAACAAACTCTCTCTTTTCCTATCAAAATCTAAATTCCTTTTTCTAAACAAAATATTTATCTATTTTTCCTAAATATCTTTATTTCCCTAAATCATCTAGAATCCAGGATAATGTGGAGGTAGAGGGGCCGCCACCCCCTAGGCCGCGCCTCCTCCTGGCGCGCATGCAGATGCCACGGCCATGGTTGCCACCGGGTTGCGGGCCCTCGCCGGCCCGCTCGGCACGCTATGGGGGTCCCTTTGGGAGCATGACATCTCCCTCATCTCCACTCGGTTCGTCCTCGAGCCGAATCATTAGCCAGTCATCAAGGCCTCGAGGTGGTGGAATTGATCTACG